TTAAAAAAAAAAAAAAAAAAAAATATACATCGTTTTCCGTTGTGTTTGTTTTGTTTTGCTCGAGGATGAGCAAAAGTTAAGCTTGGGGGTGTTTGATGAGTGACATTTATGTTACCCTTAGGGGTAGTGTATTGGTCTCTTTTCTCCTGTTTTTCTTAGGTTTTCTACCTCTTTTCTCCTCTTATGGCTTCCTTTTCTTTTATGGATGAAAAGTATGCTTATTTGCGCTTGTTTTGATAATCTGTATGCATAATTTTATCATCCCCATGCTCTCGTGATCTTTGCTATCTTTTGCAGGTTCCATGACGGTCCTAAGCACGGTAGGAGGCCCCTTGGCCAAGTATGGAGGCATGGACAAAGACAAGAGGAGCAAAAGGGAAGAAGAGGAAGCAAGAAGAGGAAGTTCAAGAGGAGGTGTGACCACACCTCTAAGAGGTTCGGTCGAACCTAGGTGTGGTCAAACTTTTGAAAAGTTCGACCGAACCTCCAAGGCAGTTTCAACCAAGTTTTCAGCATGTTTACAGGAGGGGTCGAACCAGGAAAGTTCGACCAAACAAGGATCAGGGAGGTTCGACCGAACCTACCCTGAGTTCGGCCGAACCTACCCTGAGTCCGACCGAACCTACACAGAGTTCGGTCGGACCTTTTCCCGTTTCAGCTGACTTTTTGCGGAGCTTCCTAAGCAATTTTGTAAAGGGTATAAATAGATTTTTTACTCATTAAAGAAAAGAGAGATTTTTCAGTTTAGAATAGTTTTTAGGTTAGTTTTAGGTTTTAGAGAGAGAAACTCTCAAATTTTGGAGAGAGAAAGTGAGGAGCACAATGGTTTTCATGGATTTTGGATAATCAAAGGAGGAATTTGATGATTTGAAGATCTCCATTTTATATCAATGAGCATTTCTTACTCTCTTCTCTCTTTATGCTTTATTAATTGCTTTGTTAATCATGTTTGAGTAGATTTCCTTCTACTAGGTGTTGAGTGAAGCTTTGTTATGGTTAATTGAGTTATTTGAGATAAATTTGATGATAATTGTGTGATTAAATTGATTGAATTGATGTTGGCATGTTGTTTGTTTTAGATTGGATTGATCTCCCATGATAGCACACTTAATTGCATGTTAGTTCTAGTTTGACAAGGGATTGTGAATTAGAATTGATATATTTGATTGCATTTTGGGTAATTTTCTTCTATGCACCTAGTCAATGAGGGATCTAGGCTAGGAATTTGAGAGATTACTTTTGAGTGTAGTTAATTCTCATTATAATTCTTTCTTTGCATGATTGATTATCAAATGGATTCTCATTAGCTTATTAATTGTTCTAAGTGGATCTTTTCCCCTAGTAGACTTTATCATACCTTGTTCTTTATATGTGTTTTAGTGTAGTTGTAGTGTCCACTATCCATAAACCGATTTCGGCGTAGCTTAAGCATTAGATCGAGAACAATCCAACATTACCGTTCCTTGTGGTTCGACTCCGAACTTACCACTAGACTTGTTTAGGGGTTAGTTTTAGGATTTATAAATTTATTTGATTGAGTGTGGAATGTGCGACCGTTCTAACGCCCGTCATATGGGTGCCCCAGTTTCTCCATATTTTGAATAAGGCCGATCATTTTGAAAACATGATCATGAACTGTGGCACCCTTCTCCATCCTATAATCCAGAATCTCACGATGGAGCTCGTACCTTTCAACTCTTGCTTGTTTCTTAAACAAAGCTTTGAGTTCTTGCATGATTGTGTACGCATCCTAATCCTCAAAACGCTTTTGAAGACTAGGCTCCATGGTAGCAATCATCAAGCAAGTGATAGGCACAACTCTATCATGAGCTTCCATGTGCTTCTTTACTTCTGCCGTAGTTGCAGTTTCTGGCAGAGGTCCTTGCAATGGGGTGTCAATGACATCCCCTCTACCTTCATATTTCAGAACAAGCCTTAGCATTCTTTCCCAAGTGGAAAAGTTTTCTCCTGTCAACCTATCCTTCTCAAGGAATGGTCGAAGATTGTAAATGTTGTTGTCATTGTGATTACGGCAACCCATCTAAGTCAAAATAAGGCAAAGTTTAATAATTATGTTTAATTTAACATTAAAGTACTATATGCGAATTAATTAGGTAACTTTAAAACACTTTATTCAATATTAATTGATCCCAATTGAATTTTAAGTGATTCCAGGATCCTTTATTTGTGTAATAGTTGACCAAACTGAGGCCCTACCATCAAACATTAAATTTTCAAGGTGAGTAAACTCTTTACTGATTACAACTCTTGTAACTTTTGGTTGAATAATTAACCATCACATGCTTAATTATTACCCTTTGCTTCAAGGTTATAAACACTTTAGGTACCCTTGTTGAGCATAACCAATTAAATATGCAGAACGTGAACTACCCCACAATGCCTAAAATAACAAGTGACACTCTGTGGAGGCCGACCTATCACTCACTATCCAAGGATTGTTGGGTATCTAATTGGAAAAGCAATCTCAATATTACTGGGACCTAGATTCATTTATGTTGTGATTATTTAGTGAACTCTAGCGCATCATCAATCACCATAAATAAAATCTAACATTCATAATCTACTAATGCAATAAAACATGACATAATATGGCCCCTTAGTCCTAAGAAAACTAGAAATGAAAAGCTCCCACTTGAATCATCTTGGATCTCCATCCACCTTGCTCCTTTGGGCCTTCACTTCATGGGCTTCTTTGGACTAACACTATTTAAATAACTAATCTATTTACTCTAAATAAATATAGATTACAAAAATACATCACGATGCGCAGATCGTATTTTAGAATCTATGGGCCACACTAGTCTATATATAGTAACATAATATCATATATTATATAAAATGCCATATAATAAATTACTTAACATGCTTGTCTAAACTACAACATTGAATGTTCATAATTAAGCCAATGCATTTCCTAAAATATGTTATATTTTAATCATAATTAGATAATATCATATATTATTCATGACCATTCATAAAATATCATATATTTTAATTTAGGCATGAGATAGAATCAAATCTTATTTTAATCTAGAAAGATAAATCATATTTAATCTTCCATGATTATCCTAACAATTTTAGAAGATTCTATCCTAATTATTATCCAATCAAATAATTTTAAAATCAATTATATCCTAATCTAATTATAGGATAATCACATTATTTAAATCAATTATTATCCTTTTCGAATATGCCCTAACCCTTGAATATCCTAATCAATCTTATCCAAAATTAACCACTTTAATTATGAATAATTGCCAATTTAACAACTTTAAATATGGATGATATCAAATATAAAAAATTTTGAATATTTGATTTTATGCTAAAACAAAAGATTTTATCCAAATAAACTGATTTTATCCCAAAATAATTTTAATTATCTCGAAATAATTTTTTTTTTCAAAACCGTGACTGCACGGTTGCTGGCCACCGTGGTTGGCTAGCCGAGGCTAGCCACTGTGGATTGCTGCTTTGCAGCAGCCACTTCCGCAAGGCAGCAACACCCCGTAGTAGTGGCAGCCACGGCAGCAGCGTGCAACGCTTGCACAACTGCTGCCCCAGCCACCTTGGATCGCCGTCTTCCCCTCCGTCCCTCTTGGACAGACCACCAGGTCGACAGTCGTCGTGGCTGCGCTACCCAGCCGCGGTTGGTGGCCTTAAAATAATTCTTTTGTGTGTTTTAATTTAATTAAAATAAATTTTATCAAAATTAAATTAAATCAGTCCAAAAATTAAAATTAAATCAACATTCAATTTTAAAATTAGGGTTCATCATAAAATTAATCCCAATTTAATTCTAACTCTTAAAATTAAATCGATGATCATACACAAAAAATTTTATGCATAAATCAATCCGATTATGATTATGAAGCATAAAGCAATTCGAATTAAATAAAAAATCAAGCACAAAAATCATATTTTAGGCTTTGAATTTTCGAAAATCCGAAAATTATTAGGGCTAGGGTTCGAAAAATTCGAATGCTCTAGTGCTTAATTCGGTCCTCTTCATGGCTATTTGAGCATAATTAAGACACATTTAATCAATTCCAAAAGTTTAATCACATTAAATATAACAATTGAACCATAATTAAATTATTTAGTTAAATTATTTGTCCCTCTTAATTAATTATAAAATTAACATGGTCTTCAAATTAATCGTATTAATATGATCAAGCGTGTTCATGCAAGAGGCTAACTGATACCACTGTAGGAGTTTATAGATACTATGCAGCGGAAAATAATGAATCATATTCAATCAAGCACCTAATCCCAAGATCACATGCATAACACACAAGACACATAATCATACCTTTGAAGCATGAATTCCACGTAACAATTTTATTGACAAATCAAGGAGAGAATATAGCCCCAAGCGTTGCTCCTCTACTTAGTCCACGAGCTTCGAACGAGCCGTCCACCAAAACTAGATTGGTCGAGTGATTGGGAAAACCGTGATCACCACCTTTAATGGACTAAGCCGACCACCACAATCCACCACCACCACGAATTTATAATTATGAGAAGGGTTGGTCTCGTGTTTGCTAATTTGGGTTTTGATCTTACTGATCAAATGAATTCAAGTTACATGCAAACCCTAGGCACCTAGTCTATTTATAATCATATTATAATTAGACTAGGGTTAGGAAGCCCAAAACTCTCTTATCCTACTCCATATGGCTGGCCATACTAGGGGATGAGGCCCATCATGGGCCTTGTCTTCTCGTGCCCGATCTAGACCCTTTGTGTGACTTTATAGGATCCGTCCAATTGGACTTTGGGCTATTTTACTAGCCCAAAGATCGTTAGTACCTCTAGCTATGATAAATGATGTACCAAATGTCCGAACTTAATTATCTCCATAATTTGATCCATTTATATATCTTGTAATTGCATACGACCAAGACATAAATCCTTCACAAATTAGTATTCTGGAAAAAATAGACTTTGGATTTCTTAATACAAACCTTGCTACCCGAGGATCAGCAAAATTGGGAAAGGCAATGCATCATTATTTCTGCTTGTTCAACCGAAGCATGAGAAAAGAGAATCAAGTCGTCCACAAAAGCCAAATTTGAGATAGGAGGACCATTACGACTAGCTCTGACTAGAATCCGAACTCCTAGCTTCACTTCTCTTTCAATTGAATGGGCCAACCTCTCCATACAAATCACATATAAATACGGAGAAAGTGGGTCACCTTGCCTTATACCCCGAGATGGAAAAGATGCTTCTGTAGGCTCCCTATTCCACAAAATCTGAAGCTTAATCGAAGAGATGCACTTCATAACAACTTCTATAATAAGTTGAGGAAGGTGAAGCTTCATTAAAGATTCACGGATAAACGACCATCTTAAACGGTAATAGGCCTCTTCGAAGTCAATTTTTACCGTAATCAGACCTGCTTTCCCCTGCTTATATCTCATAGTATGTAGCATCTTCTGTACTATGATTACATTGTCTGTAATTTAGTGCTTGGGGACAAAGGAGCACTGAGTTGGAGATATTAATTGAGGCATGACAGGTTTTAACCTGTTAACAATGACCTTGGTGACTAACTTGTATACTATGTTGCACAATCCAATTAGCCGAAACTGCTTGGTATATTGAGGGACATCAACCTTAGGAATAAGAAAAAAATACGCATTGTTAAAGCCATATGGGAACTCTTTTCCATCTGAAATATCTCAAACCAAGTTAACCACATTCGGTTCCACCAATTTCTAGAACGTCTTATAGAAAATAGGTTGAAAATTGTTAGGACCCGTGGCTTTGTAAGGCTTCACAGACTTGAGAACAGCAACTACTGCTAAAAGGTCAAGTCAAGGTCTCATAGTCAGCCTGATTAATTTCTGGAAAATAACTCCAGAGAAGTTGAAAACGTTCCCCAATCACGTTTTCTTCCTGGAATAGCAACTTCCAGTATTGCAGCACCAAGTTTTTTTTTTTTTTTACCTCTGCATCCTCTGTAATCCACTGCCCATGATCATTTTTAAGAGTATTCTGATCCCCATCACATATAGCACCCATTCGAGATTTTTGGAACCAAAGCATCTCTTCGTCGATCAACACCTCTTCCAATTCCCTTCTCAATTTTGCTTCAAGTTTAACCAAATGTCTGTCTCCTTTTGGATAACTCAGATTGAATACCCTCAAGCAGGAGCCCATAATTCAAATTTGTGGCTGAAAATATTGTATAACTTATCCTTGTTCCAGTTATTCAGTTTTTCCGCAAATTGCTTCAAACTACAATCCCAATTTTTGTGAAAAAAATTAGTAAATTTCTGGTGATTTAGCCACGCTGCCTGGAAATGAACAGGTTTGATAGCAGAGGGAATTGGAGCAAAGCCCGCAGTACTAATGAGTATAGGACAATGATCCTAATGGGATTTGGTTAAATTTCGAACTACTGCTTGATGGGTGTCATGGCACCCATTTGATTAGCATTTAGGTCATTTTTATTTTCTTTTCATAGCTTTCTTTCTTAATAAATTTTTAGTTTTATGCTTTTTCTCTTTTTTTTTTTTTTTTTTTTTTTTTTTTTTTTTCTTATTTTGTTTTTTTATGGCTTTTCTATTATTTTCTCCTTTATTTGTTTTCTTTTCGTTGTTTCTTTTTGCTTTTCGTTTATTATAGCTTTTATAGATTTAGTTTTATTTTATTTCATTTTCATTTCGTTTTCTTTCCTTTAGTTTCTTTTTATTTTCATTTCGTTTTCTTTCCTTTAGTTTCTTTTCATTTTATAAGTGTTTGGGACTGCATACTTTAGTGTTCATCACGAGCTTTCTACGAGGGTAATGCTCGTGCCTATCAACTACTCAGCCTCAACAAGCAACTCCCCTGCTCCCCCTATTCACCAACACATACTCTACCACTCAACACGCATTTCCCCTGCTCCCACAAACAGCAGCCACGCACCAACACCACCATTATCTCGCAACCAGAAAAGCCCCAACACACACACCAAGCAGCAGCCACCGTAGCTCCTCGACTTCACCACCAGTTCAGCTCCCAATTATGCCACCAATCACGCATTTCCCCTGCTCCAGCAACAACCGCAATTAACACCAAATCAGCCACTTTCGCCACCCTCATCCGCAACCAATTTCCTCCAACAACGACCTCACCTACCAGCCCTGCTTCACCGGCTCACCACCAACAACTTGCAGCCACCTTCGCAGCGCACAACACTCCCCTCCACCTCACGCAAACGCACTTCAATTCGATCAAATTGTTCGCAGGTGCGCTCCCTTACATCGCGGCCGCGCATTCCTTGGTGTGTAAAATGATAAACAGTGGTGATAATGATGATTTTGATTCTTGGTGATTTTTGAGGAAGTGCGTTGTAGAGGATTAATTCCCATTTTTAGAGCAGCCAAAACCGAAGTCAGGGGCCGTTTTCCTTTCTATTTCTTTCTTTTATTTTCTTTTTCTTTTTAGTTTTCTTTTACTTTTTCTTTTTTTGCTTTTCTTATTTATTTTATTTTCATTTATTTTTCTTTTATTTTTATTTTGTTTTATTTTCTCTTTTATTTTCTTTTAACCTTGTAATTATAAATACCCATTTTTGGGCTAGAGAGAGAACAATTAGACTAGAATCCAATTTTAGAATTCATATTTTTTAGCTTAGTTGAGAGCTTCTCTCTTTAGTTTTAGGGCTAGTTTAGGAGTAGATTTAGAGAGACAAAGTGAGAAATTTCAATGGTAATTGAGAGATTGAAGATTCAATGGTGTTTTGTTGAAGATCTTCTCTATTATCAATGAGCATTTCTAACTTTATCTCATTTTATTGCTTTGTTTAATATTCTTGTTTGTTTGGATTGATTTTGATGTTTGATGCTTGATTAATGTAGTTGTTCTTGATATTTTGTTGATTCTTGATTTCCTTAGTTGTTAATTGATTAGATGATGATGTTAGAGTAGTTGTTTGGCTAGGGATTGGGTAAAATTGGATGATTGATTGATTGTACTTAATTTGGGAATTGTGTTGATTAATTGTTGAGATTAAGGTGATTCATAGAAATTGTACATGTGTGTAATTGGATTAGGCCTTGAGAATTATGCTAGATTGCATTTTGTGTCTACATTGATACGGACCATTGACTTATAGCTCACAATTGTCGATTAACTTCGGTTAGTGACGTTCCTAGTTAGAGACTCTCGTAGTTGGCTCTAGCTAGACTTCTAAGAGATAGATTGTTGAGATATTTTGATTGCTCTTACCATTAGTCTTTGCAACCATTGATATGCATGTTGTTCCCGAGTTGCTACAATTGTCATGATTACTTGTTGATCCCCCTTCAAATTGTTTTATTTCCTTGGTTGTTTGTTTTGTTAGTTGTTAGTGTTCTCTCTTTATCTTTGGCTTCGACCTAAGTTAGGCACCCAAATCGAAAGCATTTGAACATTACTGTTCCTTTGGGTTCGACCCTTGACTTGCCTCTACACTTGTATTTAGGTTTGTTAAGTGTTTATAAATTTAGTTTGACTAAGGGAGGATTAATCAACGACCTAGTCTTCACCCCTCGTCACTGCTTCATCAAATTTAATCCTCCAAAGCTCATTAGCAAGTCCCATGTCAAGGCGAGGAGACTTGATTGTTTGTAGAAGTCTACTTTATATATATTTTTATTTCCCGTCCCACGGTCATGTTTGTGCTTATTTGAGCTATGCAGAGCTATTTTTACTACTAATATACGTTTTCTAGTGTTTTTGTAGAGTTGGTATTATTTTGTAGGAATTTGCATTTTTATGACAATTCCCGAGCTTATTGATCCACTACAAAGACAATGGAATCGGATCGTATTTTATAACCAAATATTTTAAGCCCAAGACCGAGTTAGAGGAATTTAATTCGGTGATTAAGAGCTCAATTGGTGAAGAGTCCAAATTTTACAAGCTAGTATTACAGCCAAGTCCAAAGAGGAGGTTGGGCTCAAGTTTTGAACCAGCCCAATTCAAGTTACAAGATCCAATCTCGCGAGTCTGTTGGGTATAAGGATAGCGGGCCCGATCGAGAGACTGATTATTGCTGCTACTTTGATTCGGTTGGACCTTGATGCAAAACAACCCAATAGCTTTGGTTTTTACGTAGGGCGTGAATTGCCTCTTAGACTTTACAAAGGATTTTGTTAGGAGTTGGATTGTTAGGGGGATTGGTGGCCATTAACTTTTCTTTTATATAAAGGGGAATAAGGGAGTACGGGAGTATCAGGTAGTTTAGATGAGTTTTTTAGTTTAGTTTTTTAATTATTGTTATTACTTTGTTTTATGTTTTTATTTCTCTTTCTCTCTAACTTTTCTCTCTCTCCCTTAATTAAACTCTTAGTATTATTTTCTCTCTTGTTTCACTCTCTACAACTCTTGGTTTAATCTCAGTTATTTATTTTCTTTCTTTCATCATGTCTCATTTAATTGCTTTGTTTATTTTATATTTAATTATGTGTAAGTAGGTTTCTTTCTAGGGTTTGTGGGGATCCATAAATAATATGAAGGGGTAATTTATTGTTGTTAATTGTCAATGCTAGATTAATTTCCTATTAATTGATTTAATGCTCTGTGACTAGATTTGCGCAGATCTTTTATGCATGAGTTTGACAATATTGATTCGAGATTCGACAGATGAGAATTAATGTTTAGGTCTAGTTTCAATAGAAAGGTTAATTTATAAATGGTTAAGTCGAGATTCGAGAGATGAGATTTAATACCGATAAATTAATTGTGTGATTATAATACGTAGCGAAAGCCCTTTATGATCTAATTAATGTATGCATTGATGATTAATTATTATGTTTTACCCTGGAATATTATTTATTGGTGAACCTATGCCCTAGGCTTTTTATTCATTGTTTCTCCTCCCACTTTTATTCTTTCCCACTTTTACTCTTAGTAGTTTAGTTTCCTTCGATTATTATATTTTGGTTACTTTATAATCTAAATTATATTAGTTAATTAGGAATAGAAAGACTCGTTTCTCTGTGGATTCGACCCTACTTCCCTATCTACATTAGTTAGAGGATTTAGGAATTATTTTTGATTAGGGAATACGACTTTACCCTGTCACATAGTGACACCCCAAAACCAAGTATGACTAGGACCCGGGCATCCAAGGTTTATAAGACCAGAATTTTCTACCCAATTTGTGAATTCTCGGAACCACTTTTGCATTTCAGAATTGTCAACACCATTTCTTTCTTCCATAGACATAGTTTCATTGAAATCCCCACCAAGAAACCAAGGACCCGAGAAGTTATCCTTAATTTTATTTAATTCCTCCCATAATTCTTAGTGAGTGGTACTATCTGGGCTTGCATAGACTGTTGAGAATAGCCAAGGATCATCCCCTTTCTTTTTAATGTTCAACATTAAGTGTTGAGAATTCTCACCATAAGGGGTGATATCCACTAGTTCTGCTCGCCAAAACATCCAACTTCCTTAACGGAATCCATGCGCCTTTTCGCTGGCCAGAGAAGTCAATCCTATTACAAATATTATCAGCTTGTTCACCACTTATGTGTGTTTCAACCAACACAAGATAAGTAGGATCATTAATCCTCACCAATTCTCGAATTATCGAGACTTTGTTACCTACACCTTGAACATTCCAAATTAAAATCTTCATTGACATATTAAATGTAGGGAAGTTCGGGTAATTATCTGTAGACACCCATTTGTGTTTCCCGAAAACCAAACCCAATAATGAATATATTTCGCGTCGAATCATAAGTGAAAGTGTGGAAAGACTAATGTTATGGTTAGTTTTTATAAAAATCTTTCTTTCTGTTTTTGAAAACCTGCTCTATTTTATGAAAATAGCCAGTCCAGTTCAATTTGGTCCATGACAAGGGTCCAATAATGGTGTAGTGGGATGAGACTCGAAAATTTTTAAGTATTTCATGTGCGTAATTTTGATTAACATTATTGTCATATGCATAAAAAAAAAGGTTCTCATTGGAAAGACCATCTGTAATGAGTAAAAAACATAGGATTTTTACACGTAGGAAATTTAAGAAATATCTTTCACAACTAGAATCAAAATAATACTGCGAAAACTGGAAAATTCTAAGAACACAAAAAGCTTCTGAGGCATGTAGGAACTAGCGTCTAGAAAACAGAGTGCGTCGCCTAAAAAATGGCCTTGTCGCCTGGCGACAATTTTGTCATCTGGC